TATATATATATATCCAATCCTAATTTTAATTTTTCGACCTAATTTTATTTTAAATCTTAATAATTATTATACAATAAATATTTCAAATTTAAAAAACGACTAAAGTGGAGATTCACTTATCGAAAAATTATAAAATGCTCCTCTAATAGATTTTAATATAAAAAACTTTTCTTTTCAACTAACTAGTATAATTTTGAAAATAGTTACGTAGAAAATGGGACATCCAATATGTGTATGTGTGCTGATTCATTGTTGCAGCAATCGTCTATTTGTCGATAAATTATCAAAAGGCTTATCCTGAAATACCTAACACGAGCGATCGTAGAATTATATTGGATCGGATGAAAGAAAAATGTACGTTGTAGAGAAACGGTGAGAAAGATAAACGCCGTTACCGATAGAAAGGCATCGTGCTGTGGTACCCTGATGCGGGAGAAATCCGCGGTATCCGAAAACTTTTCAGGAAATACCTTTCGTGGGTGCGATAAAACTTCGCAACCGTGAGGGAGTAAGTAAGCAATGTCTCTTTCGAAGATCTACCAAACACCTTCAAAGATAGTGAAAGTGTTAAAGACGCTATAAATTTAAAAGAGTGATAAGTAGGACGATGTAAATGAAAACTTGTCTAGAAAATTATATCGCGAGTTTTATGTAATAACGTCTCACGTTTCATTAATTATGTATAATCAGAGTTGGGAATTTTATAAAAATTGTGCGTTATTGTTACGGTTACTAATTTTTTCTAAAAAGTAACTTGTTACTCTTTAGTAATTTTAAAAGGTAACCCGTTACCAGGGTTGGTATTATTTTATCCACCCCAAAAAAACCCAGGGGTTTTACCCACTTAAAAAAACCCGAAATTTATGGGTTTTATTGGGATTTTGTATAAAAAAAATAAATTTTTTAATCGGTAACACATAAAAGAAACGTATTTATAAATATTGAATGAATGTAGGTATATTAAACCAACTTGATTGATATAATGTTAACATATGATACCAATTTTAATACATACAGGGTGTACAAAAAGTCTCAGACCCCTTAAATTTAAATATCTCGAAAAGTACACATTTTCAAGAAAAATATTTCAGAAAAAAATTGTAGGATTTAAAAAACTCTACTAATCATATCCGTCTGTTCTTAACGCTATTCAATATCAAATGGATGTGATCATAGATTTTTTAAACTCTACAACTTTTTGTCTGAAACATTTTTCTCAAAAATGCTTATTTTTCAAATTTTTCATTTAAGAGATCTGGAACTTTTTATACGTCCTATATATAGTCGTTTTTAATAAAAAAAATTTAGTTAAATGTTAAATTTTTGAAAAATAACTCTCAAAAAAATTACGATTTTTAATAATAAATTAAAATTATGTTGTAACATAATATTTCTGTGAATTAAAATTATGTCAAGGCATAATAGAAATTTAGAATTTTTAAACATTAATGTAGTGATTAAGATTCATTACTAAATATTTATAGTTTGCATTATTTATATACTATAGATTTTTAATATTGGCAGTAACTATCAGAAAAATATAAAGTACAAAACATTTTCCGATATTTAAATTTCTCTCATAAGATATTTCTAACCAATTAAAAATAATGCGATCTATTGAATAATTATAAAAATAAGAAGAGATTAAAATAACAATAAGGTAACGGCCGAACTTACCGTTACTGTAAAAATATAATGACGTTACCATTATCGTTACCGAGGAAAGAAACAATCGTTACCGGCGTAACGGCGTTATAAATAACGCATTACTTTTCAACCCTTTATACGAGTAATATGTCCTGCAGTGCGCGGTTCTTTAAAACTTACTAGCTAGAAATAGATTTATGCTTCACACACGTAATATTTTAGAATAAATTCTCGTTGGACTATAGCAAATATATTATTAGGAATTAATTACACTTTTAAATATTTTGTACTTCCTCAATTACTAACTTTAACTCAACGTGTGAGTTTCAAATTATATCTTTCTTCGCTAGTTAAATGTTGAAAAGTGTAGAGACATTCTTCTAACGTTTGTCACAATTTTATTCGCATTATGTGTTCTTACTAACGATGACAATGACGAAGAGAAGTCTTACAAACGAAGTATGTATACTAGTATCTACTTGGCGATCTTTACGAGAAAATTCAGACGAATCGAAGTAGGATCGAAAAGTCGAACGACCGAATATAAGGGAAAAGGTCGAGTAATACGCTCCTTCGTATGTCCGAGAGAATTTTATTACCAGCAGTAACACGTCCAGAGATTTTTCCAGCAATGGAGAAGTACAAACGCGAGTTCCACAAGGAACGGAAACGCGAGGAAGGAAGGCGCGCCAACCGCGCGATCACGTGGAGGAAGTCACGAAGTATAAACGACATGGTTCCTGCGCGGCAACGTTGACGTTTATCTCGTAGTAAAGGCGCTGTCGGACATAGAGTTCTTACGCCGACAAATCAATTTACGTCCCTCGAGAAAAGTTTCG